AAAGAAGTTTTGTTTTTCATGAATAAATATTTTTGCTGATTGAAAAGTTATTGCAGTTATTAAGGTGGACGATAATTTTTCTTATTGCTTGTCGATTTGATTCAAGATTCATCATCTGTATTTGGACTATTATCCATATCTTTTTTGAAATATGGGTTGTGATAACGATTGATATAGACAATATCTGCTTCATTGTATTCGAAGCGTTTGACTTTTTCAAATACATATTGTCGTGCGTCTTCAGCATACCCGCACGATTCTTCACGCTTTGTGCGCTCATGTATATATTTATTACCAGATTTCATTTTACCATAACGGTGTGGGTCTTTTTCATTCGTGGAATCACTGAAGCGTCGTTTTTCAATCAAACGATAACCACCTGCCTGGCTTGCTTTTACTATGCCGTAAATACGTCCATGCCAATATATGCGTTGCTCTTCATCTGTTTCGTTATTGCTATCGAGTCGACATACAAGTGTCAACAGTATTTGATGACCTCTTCTTTGTACTTTTCTAGCAGATATGAAAAATTTTTCGACCATCTTCGCTGTTTCCGTCATGTCAGGTGCGCATGGAAAGTTGAAATATATTCGATGAAATCGTCGACCCTCATAGTGCTCATCGAGTTTTGTTGCGTCGATTCCGAATTGAAGAGTTAAGTTGCTTATTGATTTCAATTCGTTTAGGCAGTTTTTGACATCTTCATGGTTTTCACGTGCTCTCGTTTTGTATCTATGTTCACCGTCGCCCCTATATTCAGGTTTCACATATATTTCATAGTCTGTTTTCAGCTCAGTAGCAAGGATTTTCTCATTTTTAAAAGGATGCTTTTCTAATAGCACCCTAGTAAAAGAAAAATTACCTTCACCAACCAATAACCTTGTTTTAATTTCAGGTGACTTCTTCGGACTATCAGCTAAATCACCATCCTTATTTTCTGTAGTGGATGCACGGCTCTTGCTGGCTGCCATTATACGATATACCTAAACGATAAATATTTCGAAGAACACTCAAATGAGAATCACGTTTGAGAAATGCGTGTGGACACAGTAAAAGAAACGCAAAAACGACTTTTAAT